GGTAGAACAAGAACTCAGTCTTACTCAGCAAAAAACTCAGCTTGGCTAGAGTACCCAAACTGGCAAACACTCTGGCGTCAAGGTAGTGGCAATCAGCAGCTTAAGAGCACTCCGCTAACGAGGCAACCATCATCAGGTGTGTGAGGAGGCGGACCAGAACCAGGCGCCTCCTGCTGGAGGGAGGGAGAACAACACAAAAAGACAAACACACAGACTGGAGTCCTGATATTAATAATATTAAAGACTGATATTTATTGTTGCTGTTGTAGCTGCTGGTTTTGTTTCAGGAGTGGACGGTGATTGGTCACGTGGTGATGGATTGGTCATGTGACAGTGGTACCGATGCAGCTCAGGACTGTGTTTGTCTAACTTTCATTTTGACCAAAGGTTAGGGAAAAATATGCTTCCCTAATATTCACCATTATTATCATTAATATTATTTCTGGAATAATCATTAATACCTAAAACTACTGTGGAGTAAAAAATGTTTAGGTATGTCTGTTCTTAGCCTCACAGGCTTCAAACGAAGGTCACGAGAGATAAGAATGAGTTACACAGCCTCCTTCATGGCATGAAGGGGAGGACTGATGTTTTGAAGAGATCCATCTGGCCAGTAAAGATATATATTAACACTGAATAGCCCTGATGAATTGAAGTTGTTTTGCTGCAATGTTCAAGTGTGAGAAAGTTCTTTATGCAGGGGGTGGGTTGGTTCCCCTGGGGGGAGTTTGTGTGTTAGGAAATTGTAAGGTATAAATGTATGTGCTGAGGAGGCCTCAATCAGAGCCCTATTTTTCTTTCTGAGGACGTTAAATAAATTTGAACCTTATGCCTAGCAAGAAATGCATCCGTCTCAGCTTCCTAACTTCACACTACTTTGCTTAAAACTTTATCTTTCTTTTACGGCCAGTCCCCAAACTGCCGGTAGCATATTTAAACAGACATGCAATTTTGAGCTCTTCATTTTGAATCTAGTTTCTAACAAATAAAGAGAAAAAATATTACAACTCCATACAAAAGTTTACAAGATAAAAAAACTGTTGTACAAGTTTAAAATTTAATATGTGTTTATTTTTCCCTTCTCCTAGTTTCATGTTTCATTAGACTGATGACATCCACTAACTATACAGTAAAAGTTAATAATCATAGCTGTAAATAAAGAAAGATCCATCTTCTTCTGCCCAGTTTCTTACCTACATACTACCTTCTTCGGACTGAGACACAGCCACTGGTGGAATCATATCAATCTCTTTAATAAACGGATCTTTAATCTTTAATTAAGGATCATTTTCTCTCATCGTTGAAAAAAGTCAGATATAAAATTAATTACTTTATGAATGTTGAAATCAAACTTGATGTTAAAGATGATTTGTTCCCTTGATGAGAAGATTATAGCTCCTTATTTCTGTCTGTCTGCAGGACATCTAATAACTGATTTCTGCTCATTTTAGTGGACTGGAAGGCTGCATTCCAAGAAACTAATGATTAGATTTTGGTGGCAAGCCAGAAGCTGGACTTTTTCTCATAGCTAGTTATAATTTTTAGATTGCAATGGAGCAAGAGAGTCCTTAAATCTGAAGCATAGTCACAGAATAGTGTGAATATGCATTCGGTGGCCATTTTATTCAATAAACACTGCCTGTACAGATTCCATCAGTTCATCATGACATAGATAGTTGATTTTTGTTTAATCATTTGCTTTTCGATACATTTTCCTTGCCAGGTCTACTTAAAAAAAAAAAGATATCTTTGATTGAATATTTCCTAGTGAAATAAAGGTTTAATAATGAAAAAAAAATAA